CATATGATATCTTGACTGAAGATTTTAAAGCAGGATGGTTGAGTTTGTGGATTTGGGGCTTGGTGTTTTTTTAAAGATATATTTGTCAACACACGATGGACCATGACGATGTAAAAGCCTTTGCTATTCGAAAGCTGACTTAATAAGTCATGATCACTTATATATGATGAAATCTGTTTATCAGTATCCAAGTATTTTTCTTTAAGATCACTGTTACACAGGTCTCTTTTTACTTTGCTGACAGAATCTTTGAAAGACCTCCTGAGAGGTCCTCTGATGTAGCTTCAAATTATTAATAAAAACCTACAAACTATAAACCTATGACTATAAATGTACAATGTTCCCATTTTTAAATATTTTTAGAAAAATAGTTGTTAATGTGATTTCAAACCTACTGCTAGATACAAATGTCAAGAAGACACAGATGAACTGCAGATTGTCTTTTTCATCTACTCAGATGGCTTTGATAAAAGATGTCAGCAGCTTTACAGATGACCTGTTTATTGATCAGGATGCTAGGGACTTGAACAGACTTCTGTGCAGTGAAGCATCAAGGTTTTTTACTCTGCTTTACCCATCAAAAATCACTGAAGTCACTAGCATAGTGAGGATTAAGCTTTAATAACCTATGGGGTTAAAAAGAGAGTTTGTGTGTATATGGTCTGCTTTGTGCTGCAATCAACATCTGTCCTTTCAAAAGTCTTGTTCTCTATTCCCCAAATAGTTCATGGACTAACTAAGTGGGAATTAAAGCAGTTGCAGGCAAAGTAGGAGACAGCCCATTTTTAGTTTATCCAGATGGTTAGACTATAAAAATAAGCTATAAATAGACTGTAAAACACGAAAGGCCACATACCCCTTTCCTGGTTCTATTGAGCATGAACACCAGAAATATGAGACGCTGCACTTGAAAGGACAAGAAATCCATCTCACTTGCTACCTGGTTTCCAACAGCCAAGTGCCTGAGAAAACATGTAAGAACAGAGCAAGTGCACAACACTCTTTTGCTTCAATGATCTTTAAGTCTTGAGGAGTTAACAGATTGTGGATTGCAGATGTTTTGCATTTGTATTTAATGACATTAGGTGACCTTCCTTCCATTGATCTAATTAATTGTATCTCAAGGAAACTTGTTTCTGATGGACATATACTGTTATTTCCCTCTCAATAGGGAAGTCAGAGTAGCAAATGTCATCATATTTATGACAAAGCTAGCAGCTCTTTTGATCTAAATAGAATAGGGTGGAGGGAAATTGTCTTTTTGCTTCAAAAAGTTAACATTTAAATGGACCTAGGCTGGCTGGGATGTTAATATATCACTGAGAAAAATGGTATGGAGGAGAGTTTATTTCTTTGCTGTTACGATGCTGACAGGAAAGTGTGCTCTGTAATTGATTAACAGGGCACAGTGCATTGACTTATATGGGAAAGCTATTACATCTCAGTAACAGGAAGGTATATATGATTCTGGTTTTAGTAAGTAAAAAATTGGATTCCACAGCAAATAACTAAAACTGCTGAAAGAACCAAAGGTTCCCAAGGATTTTTTTTTTTTCTCTTAAATCTGTGGCATAACAGTATTTCATGTTCTGAAGGAAGTTTAAATAGCACAATATATTTAATGGAACTTTTATATAGGGCTAGAAATATTAGCTTATGTAAGCAGTCTTTTAACTTTTGTTCTATCGCACCTAAAGTCATGAGTTATTAAGGAGATGTAATATCTTTTTTAAGTCTATTCATTTGAAATATAATCCTTTCCTATAATTCATATCCATTTATGGAGGATTTCCTATATTTTTAAAGCCTAAATAAGCAGGCAAGATTGGGAGGTTTGCTTTTTTAAAAAGTGAGAAAATGTGTGTGTGGGGTTGTTTTGTTTGGTTTGTTGTTGTTGTTGTTGTTTGTTGTTTTTTTAAACTTATTATTTGGTGTCCCAAACAGGTATAGGAAAGGATTACAGTTTTGAACAATAGTGAAGGAAAACTATATCAATTATGTTTTGATTTTTTCGAGCCCCCAACCAGACATTGTTGATTCCAACCAAATTAAGAACTTAGAGGGTTCAGATTTAATACTGCAAAATCATATGTACACCAGATTAAGTATATTCACAACTGTCTGCAAAAGTTGTGACCACAGTGGCAAATACAGAGTGGTACTCCCTTTGGGATCAGCATTTATTTATTTATTTATTTATTTATTTATTTATTTTAACTAAGTCAAGCTTCTCTGCCTTATTTTTTCGAATCCCAGTGTATGGGTTAGTGAAGCAGAGAGGCAAGGTAGGCCTTACAGGGGAATGATGATTTAGAAATTAGTACTCTCTCCGAATAAGTATTTCCATATTTCTTTTGTGTGTCTTCAGTAGTAGCACCAATATAAAAGCTGTCAAACTAAAAGGATATTTTCTCCATAACTACTCCACTTAGTAAAAGACTAGATGTTCTGATGAATTTCTACTATTTGGAGAGGTTTCTTTCAGTTGTCATGTTGTTCTTGAGCATATTGCCTAAAATCTGTGATTATTTGATATTAAGTGATATCAAGATATCTATGATATTAAGATTTTGCTTACATTTAAAAAAACCCAAAACTTTTTAAAAGTTTATTTGTTGTGATTTATGATAGCTCTTTCATTTCTTTATTTTATTTTATTTTTCAGAATATAGTGAGCAATAACCTCCCACTCTATTTAGTAATAAATTAAATTGCATAAGTAACATCCTTTTTTTTTTTTTTTTATGTATCCAAGTCTTTCTAATATTTTTCCATGGAGATGCAGGCTTTTCCCCTCACTCCACTTTGAAGCTATGGGTGGCAGAAAATTACATAAACCTAACAGTTTTCTTTAAAAAATATACTAAAAAAACCCTAGGAAACTGAACAAAGGTACACGTTCAACCTTAACTTTCATTTCTGATGAGAATATGGTTTTTTTCCTTTAAATATCATGCAATATAAGCATAGGAAAATGTTATGAAGAGATTTTGTTAGGTTAACATTGTTAAAGATTGTTAAAGAAGATTTTAACAATCTTCTGATTATATATCGTTTTGCTTTTAGATATTTCATTCCATTTTTACCTAGACAATAGGACTAATGACAAATGCCCTAAACTCTCAAGCTAGGTGGCACTAAGTGACACGACAACACAAGAAGTTTGCTGGCAGTCTTTAAGCTGAAAACATATTTTTATGAATTATGGAAAATAGACTGCAGATAAAGAAATATAGAACCATTTGACAAAGTTTTTCTCAAGTACTTCTGTGATTATGATGTCAAGGACAAAAACTGGCAATTAGGGCAATCTGCTGCTCACTTCTATTCTTAAGCTCTAACCTTTTACTGCTTTGATTGAAATAAAAGCAGCCTTTTGCTCCATGCCATGTCTCTGCTCCCAGGGAGAGGTGTGTGCAACCCTGTTGTGTTGCTTGAGTGGTGTGATGTGAGGAATATGTGGCTGTGGCTTCTGACCAAATGTGCTGTCTGACCACAGCCAAAGCAGAGGGAGAAGGAATTTGATCTTTTTGCTTCGTGGTATAAACAATAGTGTTTGAAACCATTTACCTAATCTTGTCAAACTTCCATCATTAAATAGTGTGGTAGTGAATTTAATAGTCACTGGAATTGTCCTTTAATTCAGTGCAGAGCAGTTACCCTTTACTCATGCTTGTGTTTGTACGAATTTTGGGTTTGCCATTAATGTTTTTTACTTCAGAGATGTGTAAAGGAAACTTATTTATTTTGTTAAATGTCAAAGTACTGATTGCTGAATTAGTGTTCTTCTGCATTTATGTGCTTCAGTTTCTATTGCTGTGAAAGTAATTATATTTTTTATTACATGAGACTGCATGTTTTAAGTGAACTTCATTGTAAATTATTTGATTAACTCACATCCCTTTTTTCCCCCCATAAAATTCTTCTTCAGAAGGTATGATCATTTTGACCTTCACATGATCCAGCTCAACCAAATCACCAGTTTGTTATTATACTAAAACTATATGTTGTGGCTGATCATTAAATATGCTCCTTTTGTGGTGATCTAGACCACCTATGGTGATCTAGTGCTTTCTAGATACATAAATTGAGGGTGTTTCCACTTGCAGTAGAGCTTGTGCTGCAATGTGTTTAAAAAGATTAGTCAAGGTTACTTTTGTAGGCTAGGGCTTTTTTTAAGTTGTACCGGTAAAGTAAATGAGTAAGCTACATATTTCTCCCATCTGTTGAAATGCCTTACAAAACTAGGACAAAGGATAGTTCATTAACTAAGTATTTGAAAAATCCAAACCCATATCTCTGTGTTCTAATTTATATCATACAACAGGAGTTTTTTAACCTTATTTCTTCAATAGAAAAGCAAAGGCTGATTTTGGTTTTTTGTATCTCACATGCTAATACCAAGCTAATCTTCTTTATAACTGAGTAAAATGGAAGTGAAGTGCTCAAATGGATTATACAGATTACTTAGTATGGGGTATTTTTCCATGAATCTGTTGTATGTGATAATTCATAGGGATTCATTAGTGTCCTCTAATTTATTTTCTTTTTTTTAAAATATCAATTTATCAGCACTTCTATTACAGAAATAAAAATTTGTATCTTATCTACTTCTTACAGAGCTTTTGTGAAAATTCTTTTCTTTAACACTAGATTATGTCACCAAAAACATTACAGATATGTCCCTAAGGAGAGTGGTGGCCCGTGGCTGGACTTTACCATTATCCTATTTTGTCCTTTGTTCAAGTCCTTTTCTTTTTCCCCTCATGTCCAGGTGTGGGTATGTTTTCTTGTAGATTTTGAGGTGGGTTTTTGTTTTGTTGGTTGCAGGTTTGTTATTTGTTTAGTGAAAAGCTGAGATGTAGCTAAATGCATACCACATGCCACACCTGAAAAATAAGACTGTGTTACCACCCAAAAAAAAAAGTAAAGAGCACATTGCCACTTCATACATATGAACAATTAAGAGCCTAAATTGAATATGTTTTCTTGTGTTTCAGAAAAGTGCGATGAACCTCTGGTCTCAGCATTACCCCATTCCTCCTTCAGCAGTTCATCATCTATGACAAGCAGCTATGTGCCAGGTTATGCCAAGTTAAACAAGAGAGGAGGTAAGGGACGCTCTCAACATCATGTTCAGATATTTCAAGGAATGATGAATGATATTTTTAATATCAAAATGTTTTTCATGTGGAGTACTATTGCTTACTTTTGTTTTAACAGTTTTAACTGTCTGACAGTGTTTGTGAACAGAATGAATTTTTGTTTCACTGTGTGGGACAGTAATCACGTTCCATTACACTGCAGGGAGAAGTACACTACTAATAACATGTAGCAGCATGGGCCAAATTCCTAATGTGGATGGAGTCATGCAGTACAGATGGATAACTGACTGTAGTTAAAAGGGCACACTTGTCTTCTCCAGGTACACAAATATTTGCAAGGTCATGGTTGCTGAAGCAAAACTAAAGAGCTTTGAGGTGCTTTGTTGATTTAACTTATACCCACCTTAGAAATGACTCCTGTCATTCAGATTTTTTTTCTAGCACTGCAGAAACTTTGGCTATTGCATATATTTCTGCAATGTAATGAGGTGTTGATCAGAAGTCACAAAGCCACCTCAGTTTTGTGGGTTGGAAGGATAGATGTGTAACTTTGATGGCCTACCTGGTCTAATTATATCCTTAGGGTTATATTAAATAAAGCAAATTTATTTCACGGTCTGAACACAAGACTTTATCTGCACCCATAGGAATTTTCATAGCTTTTCTTGATATTTCTAGGTGGCTGTTTATATATCATTTTGATCTCTGAATTAATTTCTGATACATTTAAACATAAAATTTCAGTTTAACAGAAAAGTAGTATTCTCAATATTATTTATTTATTTTTTCAAAATAGTAACAATCTAAAATTTCTTAAATAAATATCACACATTAATGTGAATCAATACTCAAATTTTACCTTTCTCACAAAATACATGTGAAAGGTATAATAAATTGACTTAATGAACTTAAAATTTAAATATATTTCAATGTAAGGATGAAGAAGAGAGAACGAATGACTATAGTACCCATATCTTCTAAATTCTGAAATTATGTAATAATGGCAAAATACTAGACTTGTAGAAGGCTGGCTTAGTTGCATTGCTGCCTTACTTTTTCTGCTCCTGCAGGAATTGTGTTGCTTCTACCTGGATACCATGTTCTGGCTCCTAAAAAAATACCCCAAACAAACACCATGGAAACAAAAGTTACAGCCTTTTGGGTTTGGGTGGTAAACAAAATCTGGAATATTGTCAAATGGTGTAATATTCCTGAGGTTAAAAGCAGAAATTTTTTTCATCGGAATTATACCCTAGGCTTCCAATATTCTCCACCCATTTTTGTTTGTGCCACTTCTGAGCCAAAATTTCCCCTCCTTATGAACAATGCCATGAATTTACTGCTGGACTAATTCTAGTCTTAATCAAAGAATAGTTATCAGCCCAACTATTATTAAAAATAAAAAAAAAAAAAAACACACCAAAAAATTTAAAAAAAAAAAAACCAAACAAACAAAAAAAAACAACCCAAAAAAACACACACACACACAAAAAACAAACAAACACCCCCCAAAACCACATAGATTTCTGTGTCCAGCTCTGGAGTCCTCAGTTTAAGAAAGATAGGTACCTGTGAGACCTTTCAAGGTTCTTTTCATCAATATATTATTATTCTATGATTCTCTGTCAATTACAACTTTGGATCTGCTGGAAGTTAATGGAGTGAGGGGAGCTGCACAGTTAAAGGGGCCAAACTGTAAATATGGAAAACCCTGGTGTAGGTGGTGTCAGGGCCATTAAGGCACCATCCCCTGTCCACAAGCAAGGTCAGTAGTGATGGTACCACAAAGCAGATTCTGTCAGTTGTCTGGAGATTATCACACACAGATGGATTAGCTGGGTCTGTTGTCAAGTCAGGAAGCAAAATCTCTAGGTGGGGAAGAACATCAGATGGGTCTGGCTGTGGATATTCCTATGATGTGGCTCAGGCAGAGTCTGGAGGCTGAAATAGAGGCCCCAGGCTCACAGGCAGGGTTAGTGGTTTCACTAGTAAGATGGGCAATTATGACTTGTTGGTACTCTCAGGGCCCTGACACTGATCTTGGTTTATTGATTTGCAACTTCTCTGTATATTTGTGGTTTACATGTGTAGGATTCTTGTTCACTGTCTTTTTTTCCCTCTAAAATCAGTTTTAGCCAAGTCCCAGAGCTACTTTCTTTTAATGACTAGTAACTGACCTAGTGAAGTGCTTATAGACCTGCTTCCTCTAGTGCCACCCTGTGTCTGTACTTTCAATACCTTGGCTATCACCCTCTGATTGTACTACTCTGCACTAGGTTTTTATTCTACAGTAACAGCTGATTCTCTGTAGAATAGCTACTTTAGGTACAGAAATATATCAAAATTGTTATAGCAGTAGTCACTAGCCCATGCAGTCACACAGCTAAGTTAAATGCAAAATAGACTAGGCTGTGTTACCTGGTTGTTAGAGCAGCTAAGCTGAAAACTAGCTTAGAAAAAATATGACTGACAAGCTCTAGTCCTGCAGCCCTGTAGATCTGATTCAAAGCCTGATAAGAGCAGTGGCAATTTCTTTGGCTTTAGGCCTGGAGACTAGTAGATAACATGACTTGTTGCTCCTGAATGAGAATAGATGTTGTTTTATGCTGGTTACAGGCTTTTTACTGCAGTGTTCCCTGTATTTTGTTCCATACTTTTTATAGTTTTTATTGTTTCTTTTGTAGTATGTTTTGATAGGCTGTCGGGTCCCTTAATTTCTGTGTTCAACTGTTCGTTGTCCAGATGGAAGAAGTTAAGGGGCACTTGAATTCTAAAATACTGTCCATCATTTAGGATGAATTCTGTTGTATGATCATAGTTATGTTTGTTTCTGTTCTATTCTATTCTGTTCTAAAATAAATTAAAAAAAAGTTACTAAAATCACTTTAATAAATACAGTTTGACATCAACATAGTGGGGAGAATCTTCACTTTGCTTTTTAGATGAGTATTTCTTCTTTTAATTTACTAGACTACTTATTCTCTTCTAAGTGAAAGGCAAATCAGACATTTGGAATGTAATTTTTCCCATTAATTGTGTTTAACCTCCTTTTTCTTACCCTAATAATCACTACAGTGCAGTTTCTTTTAATGATGTTTCTTTAGCAATATGGATCAGTGCCATCATTAATCAAACACTTGCTTAATTTTCTCTATCAAAAAGTAATTTGAAATTTAGTTGTGTCACTTTGTCAAATAGTTGCTGTGTTTCTGTTTAAATATCTTTAAATAAACTTCTCTAGATTGTTGTCCATCTCTTAACACCTAATGTTGTCCATTTCTTAATACTTCTCAAAACTGAAGCTTCTTTATGTACATTAACAAATATGGTTTTCCTAATACTAGTGCCAGTAAAAGTACTGCAGAATTCAGGAGGGTGTTTAACACAGGAACTTGGCAATCTCTGTGTTTCTGCTTCTACTTCTACAAGTGATGGAAAATAGCTCAGTTTTAATGCTGAGATATTTTACAACTTCATGGAATTACAGATATTGCTAATCAAACCAGTAATGGGGGAATCAATTTTTTTTCTCTCTCCAAGGAGTCATTATCAGCTAATAGATTCCCAAATCAAATATGCTATTTAAATCACACTGTGCTCAAGTCATTAAATGGAAAAAAACTCCCCCTCCTCTAGCCCCAGACCCTTTAAATTAAAAAAAAAAAAAAAAGGTGCACTTGAAAATTCTAGTCTCCAACCCAATTATTTTTGTCGTTTTCATAGCAGTTCACTCTAGACTGGCAAAGCACTTTATCAGAATAGATAGTATATTTAATTCCATTGATTGAGACACTGATTTACTGAACAACCACACCATGTTATTAAGAAGGATGGAGTTGTAACTGTAGTTCTGGTTCAGTTTCCTGCTATAAATGTTGCAATTGGAAGGATGCACAGCAAAGAGTTTAATATTTTCAGCAGTTTTTAGGAGGCTTCAAAAGCAGGAACATTCATGAATTTATTTCTAATGTTGGATATCACATTGTTTACAAATCCTATAACTAGTGATCTAAGCAAACAGAATTAAAACTCCATGGAATGGCATAGATCTGGAAGCCTCTAGGGTGTATATGTAGGGTGTTTCTGTCAGTCTGTGAGAATATTTTACATTTTCCACATCTGTCTACTCAGAGCCCTGTAAACCTTCAATGACTTATGGATTAGTACGTATACTTATTTTAAAGAAAACACAGATTTGATGGACAGAAACTTGATTAGAAAAGTTAAACTCTACAAATCACTTTACTTGGTGGTTCATATTCTTCTGTGTTGCCCCCTGTTCCTGTTCTGAGCCTTACTTCTTGCTTGCATAAACAAGAAGTATCCTGATTTTTAAAATTTTTTTTTTTGAGGGTAAAGGTTATTTTTCATTATAGGAAAAATTGCTGATTGTAGAAACAAATATTCAGTAGTTACCTGCAGGTCTGTCAGTCTCTTGCAGATTCATACCAATCCATATTAAAATGTGAAGCCACAGTTTCTATGTCAATGAGTAAGAGTCTTTGATTTATATAATAGTTACAACTGTGAATCTGTATTTCCATAATTACAGAGAGCCAAAGGCCTGGGGGTACAATACAGGTTCTGCATTTTACACTGGCTCTCTCATTCATAGATCCCCAAAGCCTGTCTCATGGGATGCTTTCCTTCTTCTGCTTTCCTGGGCACTTTCAATTATAGCTACTGTGAAAAGTAAACAAAATGCTTTCATTTTATAATCATGCAAAGAAGTAGGAAGCAGGAAGATCCCAGAAAATGTGGACTATTTTGTTTCATAGTGAAAGTAGGTTTGGGGAAGGTAGAGTGTGGTGACTCCTGAATTCTATTAAAGGTTTGTAAGCAGAGGCTTGGACTTAAGAAGCTAAACAGTGCTGAATTAGCAACTGTTCAGACAAAGCTGGTTGCAGTCAGTTTTTATCAAACTATCCTTTTGATAGTAAGATAATATTGCAATTTAAACAACTAAGTCTTAGTGCTATATTATTTATAATATTTTTATTTTAATT